CATTTGATCATAGTTGTGTTGGCTGGTTTCTTCCTTTGGCCATCCTGTCTTTCAACAAAGAAGAATCGCTTAGAGGGCATAGTCAGTTCAAGTGTTACAAATCCAGCTTTGTATTTCATTTGTCAACTGCAAGTTTCTCGCCTGAATGGTTCTGCTTATTTCTAGAAATACTGCAATTCCCCAGCATTGGAGCTGAAATATCTTGGGATGTGGAGAAATTAATTGGTTCAGCTTGTGTCATCTGTGTGTCATTAGGTATTATGGGTCTTTTGAATGTTGTTCTGGTGTGGTTATTTGTAACACATATTCTAGTCAGGGAATTATGGGCATGGGTTCATTCAATCATTGTTAAAATACCATAAACATATCTTAAGTTTTATTTTTTTTATTGTTGTCGTTGTCATCACTCATGATTATCATCATGATGTTCATCACACGTCTTTGCTCTTCTGCTAAACAGTTTCAGTGTGGGAGTACATACCTATTATTTTGATTTTTAATTTTAAGTAGCAAAACCAGTAGAATCTATCCCATTAAGATAAAATTCAGGAAGAGCATACATATTTCAGAACAGGGACAGAACCTTTTTAATTTCAGTGCATGCTGAGGTTCAGAGATGTCACCTCTCCCAAATCTCACCTGGAAGGATATGCAGTTGGTGGTTAATGATGAAAAATGAATGGAAATCCTTTGGCCTTCATGTTCGCTGGTTGTGGGCAAACTGCAAATAAAAAACACTACCCTTTTTTACATGAGAGAACACCTCTCTAGGAGTCTCGAGGTCCTTTAGCATGACTCTAATGTCACTTATGCCAGAGGAACACTAGAAAACCTGGGGATTACTAGAGAAAAGATATTAATCAAATCTGTGATTGACCAAATCTGCAAAAATTAAATCCACAAATGTGCAGGGTCAGCCTTATATTGGTCTTCCTCAACCTGTTGTCCTTCAAATTGTTGAATTAGCACTCCCATTGTCTCCCAATACACCTACAAGGCACCAGGTTGGGAAATACTGATTTACATTTTTAAAAGGGGGATTAGTACAGAAATTAGATTTAGCAGATAACCATGCTATTTTGGTGGATTATTTATGAACTGAAAAACAACACTCAACAATAGTGGTTTGAATTATGTGCACAGGGCAGAGGCTATTGTAATTACACACACCTACGCTGTTTGCTCAGTTGCTGGGTGATCTTCAAGTGCCAATCATTTTGACCTCTTTTTGGAATGATAAAAATATCCAAATGTGTGCCTTTTAAAAATACACTTTTAAAGCTATTTAGACAAAAAAAATGAAAGTCCTTGATTATCTAGTTTTGGCAAGCAGAGCTATATGAGCAGTACATAACCATGTTGGAAATAATTGCAAGCCCCAACTGTACTAATCCATTAGAAACAGTTACCGGTATTTTTGATATTATTATTACAATCTGGTGCAGAGAGATATTTATAGATATGTTCCAGGAGCCAAGCATTGTGATAGAAGATACAGGTGCTCACTAGTAGTCAGACTACAACTTCCATCATCCTTTGCCATTCTAGCGAATAGAAATTGTAGTTCAACAAGTCTGACCGGAACAAGCTTTTGAAAAACTGCTGAAATTAAGGAAACAGCAGGTACAATTTGCAGAAATAATCAGGGCTTTTTCTCTGTGTGTCACTGTATTTGTGGTATGGTATCAGTGTTTTTCCATACTGGGGGAAGTATGTTTCTGTGTGGTAAGATTCTGGCACTGTTATGAACACTTTGTTTACTAATACAAAAATACCTCTGACATCCCCCAGCAATTACATCATGTTTCCTATATTCAGCCACACTGACATACTGACCCATGCTTCCTGTAACGCCCACATTTTGACTCCATGGGTATTTTTATTCTTAGATGCATGCTGCGATTCTGACTTTTGCATTTCTTGAAAGGTGTGTATGTATAGCATCTTTCAGTTTAAAAGGTGGGGTTGAAACTTAGTGGGGAACATGTACTTTTTGCATAGCTGGTGATTCTATTAAATTTTTCTTTTTCTTTTCTCTCGACTACTTAGTTTGATAACAAAGATGTGGTTGTAGGATCAAACCTTTGGCTAATAAATAATGAAGAATGAATAACAAAGAATAATTAAAGAACATGTGCAATGACAATTCAGAATGGCTATGGTATATGATTTTTGTATCATGGGATTTTAATGTTTATATTAGGATGATTTTATGCTTTGTCTGAATGCTTAAATTTTATGTCTGTCTTATGTTTAATGGTTTTAATTATTTTTAAGTTCATTGTTAGTTATTAGTTATTATGATTTCTTTGTGTACTGTATGTTGGCATTGAACTTTTCCATTAGGATGTTCTAAACCACCTTGACTCCCATCAGGGGTGAGAAAGGTGGTATATAAATACAGTAAACAATAAATAAACAAACAAACAAACCTTTTTCATTTGTAAAAATTCAGAAAGGAGGAATAATTCCATAATTTAATAATAATAATAATAATAATAATAATAATAATAATAATAATAATTTTCCTTCCTTTCATATACAGTGAGCCCTCAACATTTGCTATGGTTAGGACCACAAGATCCCTGCCAAAGTAAAAAGCTACAAATAATACGATTTTTTACCTGAGAGAACACTTCTCAAGGAATATCAAAATACTCCAGCACAATTCTAAAATCACACTGGAGGATCTAGAGATTCCTAGAAAGAATATTTGGATCCAATCTATGAATAATCAAATTTGCAGATGTGACAGGCCAACTGTTCGTCGAGGGTCAGCAAGCACTACCTTTTCAAATAATCACGGATTCAAAGTAAGCAGTTGTATTACTGTAATTGACCAGTTCTTACCCTTTCCAACCCTAATGATTTTTTTTGTCATGTCAGAAGCAACTTGAGAAACTTAAAGTCGCTTCTGGTGTGAAAGAATTGGCCGTCTGCAGAGACGTTGCCCAGGGGATGCCTGGATGTGTTACCATCCTGTGAGAGGCTTCTCTCATGTCCCCGCATCTGGAGCTGACAGAGGGAGTTCAACCCGCTTTCCCCGGATTCGAACCACTGTCCTGTTGGTCAGCAGTCCTGCCAGCACAAGAGTTTAACCTATTGCGCCACCGGAGGCTCCTATCCTGAAAGCTTGTTCAATATGATGCTGATAGGATGGGTGTGTGTTGGTTAGTTGGAAGGTAATGTCCCCTCATAGGAAGCCGGGGCTGACAGACAGGAGCTCACCCCAGCTTGCAGATTCAAACCATCTACCTTCAGGTCAGCAGTTCAGCGGCACAAGGATTGAACACATTGCGCCACCGCGACTCCTTACATAACGATAAAGTGAACTTTAGCTTAACTTTTTGAAAATTAATCAGCCAGTTCTTACCCTTTCTATTTAACTGACAAAGTGAGCTTTTGCTCCGTCTCTGGCATATTATTTTCCTAATTGAAGTTGAGACTGTTATATCATGGTCTATGGAACGCTTTGATCTTGAACAACAAAGTGTGTCTTATTCAGCTTGTTTACAAGAAAGCTTAGTCTTCAGTTACTTCAGCCTTTTCAATTTTTAGTCTTAATGCTGCAGTAGTTTTCTCAAATCCTATGGAAAAGGATTTCTTGAAAAAACAGAAGTTAGTGAAAACTTAACTACAGGAGATCCTAAAAATGTATACATCCTTTAACAGCTAGTAGTAGCAATGGTTAGTACTTGAAAGGCTAAGGAAATACATTTATATTGAATAAATGTTAATAATATTAAATCAGACTTACAAATTCCATCTTAAATTACAATTTTATGTAAAGTGTTCAGATTGGTGGCACGGCAGAACAATGCACTGCTTGTACCATCGAAGCACAGAGTTGCAAACCTCCCTTAAAGTTCCTTTTGTCATTCCATGAGACTTCTTTACTATTGGAATCTTGCATAGAATATTAGAGTTGGAAGATACAACAAGAACCATTCAGTCCAACCCTAGAATGCCTTTCAGGGAATCTCTTAGGCTGGATCTACACTGCCATATAATCCAGTTTCTAAATCCAGATTAACTGATTTGGATTATTTGAGCCTACACTGCCATATAATTCAGTTCAAAGCAAGTAATCTGGGTTCAGAAACTGGATTATATGGCAGTGTAGATGGGGCCTTAGTCCTCCAACAGAATTCTATGGTATGCTGGTTTGGAAGTAAGATGATGCTCTTGGTCATATCCATGGTTTTGGGTAGTGTTTATTCAGATGGGAGCATGCCGCCCATGGATACAGGAGTCTTATTATATTTGTATGTGAAATGGCTTTAAAGCCTGAACCATCCAAGTTGATACCAAAACATTTGATTTAGAAGCAGTCCTGTCTTACTACCAACCCTTATCTGCCTTACTTCAGTGATATTACCGTGACTTCTACCCATAATTTATTTATTTATTTATTTATTTGGTACACTTGTATACCGCTAATTTCTCAGCCTAGAACGGCGACTCAATTGCGGTTTACAGCATTTTAAAAACAATCTCAGTTTAAAAAACATATACAAATACAATAACAAATTATTGGGCCACCAATAATAATCCCATATATTATTATTATAGATAATATCATATCTCAGGTCATGGCCCTGAAATTTGAGGGAATGCTGACCTCAGAATCATGTGATGGATTGATCATCTTCAATTTTTTATTTTCCATAAAATAAACTGGTAAACTGGCTGGGATTTCTGAGAGTTGTTGGCCAAAACACCTGGGGACCCAAAGGTTGAGAACCACTGACCTATAAGACAATATGGCAATTTCACCTTGGAGAAGCAGTGTTATTCCTTCCATGTGATTTGTGTATTGGATTGTCTTGATAATTTAGAAACATTATTTGTATATGGATATGCTTTTGAGAGGTGACCTGCTACTACATTTTTAAGAGTTCCGTGTAATATTTTATGAATTGTGATGTATCTTTTGCTTAACAATAGGATAAACACATTTAGTCAACAGTCACATTCTGTTTATGTTCTTCATAGTTTTCTACACATGAACATACACAAACATACATGGGTAAAGTACAGGAATAGCTAAAAAGAACTGGATATAATGCAAGAATAAACTACAGACCCATAGGTTATTCTCAGTCTCTTGGTATCTAAATGACTTGTGTTTTATGAGGAAACAGCCTGTAGTGGAGGTCGGAAAAAGGTTGGCTGCCGGGTACCTTTATGATCGGCATGTTAACATTGTTAATCATTTCCAATTATCAGCAATAGCTCAGAGGTTTGCAATGCAGCTGGGTGAAAACTTCAGAGTGTGGAAGAAAAAAAAAGCATCATAAAATCTGATGTGTACAGTCGGTTTTCTCTGGAATAGATCAAACTCTGTATTTGCTAATAAGAACCAAACCGGCAATTGGCACCCATGCCTAAGAGCATAGAAAATATCAGAAGCATTAGCTACAGGAAACAAAGGCAAAATATAGATGTGATGCACATCCAAACAAGCCCTGCATTAATGGAGACTGCAGTTTATTTTCATTTTATGTCAAATTTGACCTCCTGCCTGAATAGCTCAGGCTCTTCAAGTATTTATCCAACAGTGGGTGTCAAAATAAGTTCTTCCATGGATGATTCTGGAGTGCTTGTTGTCTTTTATGAGGATGGGAAAAGAAAAGAAAAGGTCACATAGACGGGAACTGAAGGAATACTTGCTTTCAGGACCTACAATGAGAGGGATGCAAACGTTAGCATACATTCACTTCTGATGCTGTAAATAAGTAAAAAGTAAAAAAGGGATCATTTGTTACATTAAAAAAGAGACAAAAATAAAAAGCTTATAAAAATAGTTAGCAAGGAGACAGAGAGAGTGTCTTCTTATCGGGAATTCCAAAATTCAAAACTGTTCACGTGACTGAGATAGTGACCCCTCCACTTTGTTTTCTGATCAACTTTGTTTTGTGCACAAAAATATTAAAAGTATTGTGTAAAATTACTTTCAGACTACTCATATGTACATAAGATATAGATGAAATAAACATTAATTTTATGTTTAGATTATTATTATTTGAAACACAACAAGATGAGTCCACAGCAAACAAGATCACTCTGCTGGTGGTTGTATTGGATTGTTATTGTTGCTGTTGTTGTTGTTGTTGTATTGGATTATTATTATTATGTTTATTTATACCCCACTTTTTTTCTCCACAAAATATTTGTTGCAAATATTTCAAAATTTGAAAATATGTACTCGATCTGTCACCTATTTTTCTCATACTCAACCCAAAGGAAGAATCAAGTCCTCAACTCTGTCAAAAATAATTTTGCCTTTGAAAGATGAATTCAGATAAACGGGTTGGGGTGGGGGGTGTCAATTGGTATTTCCTTCAAAGGAAAGGTGGCTCTAACACTAGGAAAAGTAAGACCCAAATCTTGTTGCTACTCTGAGCTGGTGAAGGAAGTAAGACAAAAGCTGCTGGATCTAAGTAGCTTATTTCCCCAAGGTCTTACTTTTTTCCAAGGCCAATATGGTGTTTTCTCTCATCTACACCAGCATAGTTATGCCAATGCAGTGTGCCAACAGGCAGATTTTGGACTTTCATGAAACAGTAGCAAATGTTTTGTTTTATTTTACATTTCAAAGATGGAGAGTGGTGTTTGTGGCTTTTAACTTTGGATTGTATACATCTGGCCATAGTTGAGAAAACACACAAGTAAGGTGACAAAATGTCTTGGTCCAACCTTGTCTCAGCTTGCATGGGATTTATCAATATGAGAAAGGTCTGTATCTGGGTGGTTATATCCTACATTATGACCTCTTTTGTCACAGCTGTTTGCAAACTCAAGAAAGCGAAGGGATATTAGCACTAAGTTAAAGCATATAATCAGAGAAACAGAAGGTCACTTTACTTAAAGAGGAGCTGATGTAATCTTTTGCTCCATTGTAGAATTGTTTTATGTCGATGAAACTATTCATTATAGACCACATGAGGTTGCCTCAGAAACCAGCACCACCACATCAAATTCTTCTCCAGAATATGTAGTATTACTCACTAACCATAATGGCTGGGGAAATTAACAGGAGCTATTGGATTACTTACCAGTATGTGTCATAGTGTCATCACACCCAGCATTTTCACCCCTACATGACATGATGATGACTAGAGATACATGCAACTAACCGTTATGAGGGCTACAGTGAGAAACGGATATGGGGATAATGACTGTGGCATTAGGCACTATGGATCTACCCTACCCCCGGTCACACAAATTTCCTGAAAGATAATATCAAACAGTTGATCTATTCTTGGTCAAGCCTTCCTGATCATTAACATCCTGGAGATCACAACCAGATACAGTGAAGACATCTGCCCTTGCGCTTTACTGCCGATTACATATGCCCAGTGTGGACAACATCTCACCATGCCAAATCAGTGGATGTAGCTCTTAATGAGGCATACTACATCATCACAGGATGTCTACACCCTACACTGGAGAAATTATACTTGACTAAAATTTACTTGACTAAAATTCATATCTCCCAGTTATTTAACAATTGAAGAGAAAGGGAAAAAAACCCTCAAAATTATACTGCTGAAATGTATTTATCATGTCAGAAGTGAATTGAGAATACAGGTATAATGTAGAAAAAACCACAAAGTTAAAAACTTGGCATTATGCTAAATGTCTGGAGAAATTATACTTTTAGTCAGTATCGCACCACCTGACATCCATTGGAAAATAGCAGTCTGCAATGAAAGGACCAAGACATTGACATCTCCAGCCCATCTTCTGTTTGGATATCAGCCAGAAAAATTACTTAAATCAAAAAATAGCTCCCTAAGACCTGCAGAGATAATTGCAGGAACACCTCAGCAAGCAAGAGTCCAAAAGTGGCAGGTTAAAACCCGGAACCTCAATCCGTATCAGATACCGGATGAGAAACTCCCTCCTGGGCACACAGACTGGTTGATGAGGGAGATGCTGAACAAATTGCGCTCTAGCACCACATCATGCAGAGACAATCTTAAGAAATTGGGCTACAAAGTGGAGTCCACAACATGAGAGTATGGAGAAGATCAAACCACAGACCACTTACTACAATGCGGTCTGAGCCCCGTCACATGCACAATGGAGGACCTTCTTACAGGCACACCAGAGGCAATCGAAGTGGCCAGCTTCTGGTCAAAAGACATTTAGCATAATGCCAAGTTTTTAACTTTGTGGTTTTTTCTACATTATACCTGTATTCTCAATTCACTTCTGACATGATAAATACATTTCAGCAGTATAATTTTGAGGGGTTTTTTCCCTTTCCCTTCAATTGTTAAATAACTGGGAGATATGAATTTTAGTCAAACTACTGCAAATGGTTCAAAAATCTAGCAGGAGATCCATATCTGCCTTCTGTCCAACCCTGCTATAATCCCTTTTAACTAGTTTAATGGGAAAACAGGATATAAATTATCTACACCCATACAAACATTTTGTCACTCTTGTAAAAGTGTCCTAGCCCAGTTACTGACAACTTCTTTTTGTTTAGATTATGCTTGTGCCATTTCTTGATAACCGGTTATGTAAATAGGTCCTCAGACAGAAAGTGCATCCTTCATGAGATGCATAGAAATGTCATACACAGTAGGCCCTTCATGTTCGCTGGGTTAGAGATGCAGGATCCCTGCGAAAGTGGGAAAACCACAACATTTTTTTAAAAACCACTATTTGTTTAATCTAAGAGAACAGCTCTCTAAGAATCTCTAAGGCCCCATCTACACAGCACTATAAAATTCAGATCATCTGCTTTGGACTGGATTATATGAGTCTACACTGTCATATAATCCAGTTCAAAGCAGATAATCTGGATTTTATTTGGCAGTGTAGATGGGGCCTTAGTCTTCCAGATAGCTCTGTGGTCAACTTCTAATCCTTTCTTTAAGAATCTCTAGAGTTTCCAACACAACTCTACATATGGTCAACATCTAGGTAAAGCTGACCTTACAATCTCACTAGAGAATCTAGAGATTGTGAGAGAGATCATATTAACCGAATCCACAAATAATAAAATCTGCAAAAGTTAAACCCACAAATGTGATGGGTAGACTGTATACTATATAGCCCTAGAGCTTTTTGAATCCACACCAGGTATCTCATGTTTTCTCCTGTATAAAGATGCTTTCTTTCAAGATGGCACACTATATATTCCTGTTCCTTACCTTACTTTTTGAAGCAGGTTTCTTAACACCAAACTTTTGGGTAAGTCTCCCAGTAGTGAATTCTTCCCACTTCCCATCTATCTGGCACTGGGCTTTTATTTCATACTTGACTTCACGCTCCTGCTTTAAGCTGACAGGGCTTCGTTCGGCGGTAAAAAAGGTTATAATTGGATCTGCATGTTTGACTCTCTGAAATGACATTGAGTTAAATTCAGTTCTTGGGTTGCCAGTGTGTGTTCTGAAGCTACTCAAAAGTCTGCATGCCTCCCCCTCAAAAATGTCTAAATCAGGAGAGATTACTGTCACTCAAATTGCACCGTTTTGTCACTCAGGCAAATGTGGTGGTTGTGATGTTGACTACTTTATGGACTGCTTTGTTTGCTTAAGAGAAAGTTACTTTTGCATACATGAAAAAAGAAGGGGGGAAAGATGCCAAAGAGGCATAGATAGAATAGTGAGAATAACAGGGGTCAAAAGTCACACAAACACATTTCCCCCTTAATTTTCTCTATATCCCTCTTTTAGCATATTATCATCAGTGTGCTGCTACCACAGAATTAAACTGGAGAATCTAGGAAAGTTGTCTCTGCAATGTGCCACCAAGGCTTGGCTTTTTCAGGTGGCACTGAAAACACAGGCCATGAATACAGCTTACTTGCATTGCACATGACACACATTCCAGAACGCTTATTGTCCCTGCGCTATTTTTGCCTTTGCATCCTGGTATTTCCAAACCCTTGTAACAACTCTGTATATTTTTAAGGCTGTTTCTGAGCAGTGTTGACTTAGGTGTGTACCAGCTCTGTGGTATCATAATTCATACTCGTAGGTGTGTCTAGGAAGCTGAAGAACCACTTTAACAACATTTCTTTCCCATTGTCACCTTTGACCTGGGATTGGAAGAGGGAGCATTTGAGGACACAAAATTAATCTGTGTTTTCTCTTCTTTGCTGAGAATAGAAGTAGAATTCCCTGGGCAGATCCACTCATGCAGCGGAAGCAAGGCTTAATGGGTTAGTGTGCCAGGATTTATTGACTGACAGGAGGGATGATGACTGTTTCTTTCCTCAGAGCACTTCTGGACAAGGAAAAATATGGCTGATTTTTTTAATTAGCTTCCTTGATCTCCATCTTCCTTTCACCCCCCCAAATACCAATTGTATAATTTTTCTTGTTTTAATTTGTCATTTTTTTAAAAAAATAGGTAGCTTTGCTTAGTCTTTATTTATTTGTAGACTGAGGATTATTCAATACACTTATGCTGCACTTCACACATTACAGCTGAGTGTAACTTGTTTTAAATTCAGCAAGGAGCATATTATATAACAACAAGGGGAAAACCAGGCGTATCAACCAGTTTTAGGATACTTCTTTGCAGGTCAGTGGCTACAACTGACTAGTAGGGCTTTTTTTTTATTGTGTCAGGAGCGACTTGAGAAACTGCAAGTCGCTTCTGGTATGAGAGAATTGGCCGTCTGCAAGGACATTGCCTAGGGGATGCCTGGATGATTTGATGTTTTTATCATCCTTGTGGTAGGCTTCTCTCATGTCCCCGCATGAGGAGCTGGAGCTGATAGAGGGAGCTCATCCGCCTCTCCCCGGATTCGAATCTGCACCTGTCGGTCTTCAGTCCTGCCGGCACAGGGGTTTAACCCACTGCACCACCGGGGGCTCCAGTTGTTGTTCATTCGTTCAGTTGTCTCTGACTCTTTGTGACCTCATGGACCAGCCCACGCCAGAGCTCCCAGTCGGCTGTCACCACCCCCAGCTCCTTCAAGGTCAGTCCAGTCACTTCAAGGATGCCATTCATCCATCTTGCCCTTGGTCGGCTCCTCTTCCTTTTTCCTTCTACTTTCCCCAGCATAATTGTCTTCTCTAGGCTTTGCTGTCTCCTCATGATGTGGTCAAAGTACTTCAACTTTGTTTCTAGTATCCTTCCCTCCAGTGAGCAGTCGGGCTTTATTTCCTGGAGGATGGACTGGTTGGATCTTCTTGCAGTCCAAGGCACTCTCAGAACTTTCCTCCAACACCACAGTTCAAAAGCATCGATCTTCCTTCGCTCAGCCTTCCCTAAGGTCCAGCTCTCACATCCGTAGGTTACTAGGAGGCTCCAGTAGGGCTTATAATAGGGCTTATAATTCCCATGCAAAAGAAGTCTCAGATTCAATCCATGACATCTTTAGACAGGGCTATTAAAAATCCCACCAGAAACCATGGAGAGTTTCTGCCAGTGATAACAATAATCTAGATCAGTGGTGTCCAGTCTTTGGTCCTGAGTGTTTTGGACTTCAGCTCCCAGAATTCCTGACCATTAGACAAGCTGGCCAGGGCTTCTGGAAATTGGAGTGTCAAACACATGGAGGACCAATGATTGGACACCACTGATCTAGATGGATTAATGGTCTGAATCTGTTAATGTAGATTCTCGTGTAAATCTATATAGCTGGGATGAGGAATGTGGAGCCCCTGGACTAGATGTAGCTCCTCCCATATTTGCTACAACCAAAGATCCCCAAAGCCAAAGTCACTGTGAAATCCAGAGAATTGTTCACATGATTTTCTTACCTGCATATAAAAACTGTATGCTGAAGCATCGTGCCTGACTGCTTTTATCTCAAAGAAGAATCCATAAATGGAAATGATTTCAGCATGGTATCTTGGTTCCTAAAGTAGCCAGCATATTTTTTATTAATACAGCTTTATCCCAGCTAATTTCAAACTATGTCAGCAAAAAATATCAGCAAAGGATCTCTCTTAAAAGGAAGAAATAACTCATAGGTCAAGGGGAAACATGATGATTAAATTATTTTTGAAATTGTAAGAAACAGCACACATTTGGTGCAGGAATGTTGAAAACATCTGCAAGACAACTAAGCTACCAACAGAGATTCTGTAAAAAGCATTTTAGTACTGTGATAGCAAATAGTTTTGAAGATCTCTCCATACCTGTGAAGATGGTACTTATTGTTATATGATGAAAAGAACATTCTTTTTTATGGAGCCTTTTTATTTATTGGGTTTTTTAAAAAGGGTTTATATACACCTCCATTTTCTGAATACATGGTCTGTTCACGTTATTTTAAATTGCTGTTTTCATCTGTCACCTATGCCATCCAAAACTTGCAGTGACATGGAATAATAAAGCTGCATTGCCTGAAAATGGCCTGTCAGAATATTATTTAGATTTTTTTTATTTGTTGGAGAAAAGATGGAAGATTGCAGGCAGCAAGGTAGGTAGGTGTGAATATAATTCATCTCACAAATTCTAGATGCAGTTTTACTCTCCCATCTCCCAACTTGAGCATATATTTTCAATTTCTTTCCTCCCCTCCCCTTATAGTTACAATACTCCCACACTTTACTTACACCAGTGTAGATTACAGGATAGCAGCTCAGGGGCAAGAAGTAGGAATGTCTTCACGATGCTGCCCCACAGCCATTGCTATGCCAGAAGAACAGACTCATTTTTATAGAGAAGCTATTTTGACAGCTATTCAACACTGGCACCCTCCCTCAATGAATGAGTTCATGCAAAAAGACACATACAAAAATCTGTCTCTGCCTACACTCTTCCTGATATCTAAGATGGAAGAAAGGAAGACGAATATAGCTGTCGAAATGGATATAGTACTTGCCCCTCCTGATATTCTACTGAAAGAGAAGAAGGCAGGGGCATCATGGATCCCCTGTCTTCTTATTTTGTTTGCTTGTTCTTATAAAATTCCTGTTGGTACCATACAAATATGGAAGTGGGAAGTGATTTAACATCTTGTGCTGTAACACAGGTCATTGTCTTACAGCCCCATCAGACGGGCAAAATTGCCCATCCTACGACACTTTGACCTCATTTGAGACACAGAGCCTACCAGATCCTATCACACGACATCGATCTACTTCCTGTGGGGCTCTCTGCCTCAAGTGAAGTCAAAGTGTCATTAAGGGCAGTGCTGGTAACATGAAAGGCTTCCCATGCTGCATAGGAAACAACAGGGGGAAGCTGGGTGGCGACACTTTCCCCCCATGGAATGAGGTCAGGGGCAAGGTGGGTGATGCGGGGTGTGGGGCAATGATCTGTGGCCAACTCCCCCCCCCCAATGTGATGAAGTACTTAGTTCACCATTTTCTCATAGTGCCTTTGCTCTAGCAACCATTCAAAAAAGGGCTCAACATCACCCCCAATTTCTATCTCAGCTTTCAGTGCTCTTTGTTCTTCATTTTCCACTTTTCCTTCTTCGATGGTAGGGACTGGGGTACAAAGTAAGTGGCCTCCAGAAGGCCCAGCAATCTTCACCATGGTTCCCACTAGTCTACTCCCCAATGTCGCAGGGACAACATTTTATGAGATGACCCTATTAACTGATATATTGTCCTTTCCTTCCTCTACTGCAGTTCTTCATATCTTAGTATAGTTACCTCTCTAAGCACCAAGCCAAATCTCACTGCCTGGGTGTTAAAGTCACTCTGAAATACCATGTCACCACCATTCTCTAGCTGAAAGACAAGGAAAATATTATTATCTCTCATATAGAGTTCATCAACAATATTCACTAAAAGATGGATTTAAATGATACATAAGGGAACAGTGCTATCCTTTGGCTTCTCTGTCATCCATGAGTCAGCCCTCATAGCAGTTCTGCAGATATTGCAGCCCATACCTAAAACCGTGGTGTACACAAACAGGCTGATTCAAAAACACACATATTTTCACCATTTAATAATATGGGCAATGGCCATCCATGCTTTTTGTCATCCATGGTAGTCCCCATGGACCTGGAGGGCCCACTGTATAATATCTCAAGTTTTCTCTACAGCAATTTGAGTTATAACTGGTTCTTTGTATCTTGCCTATCTGGTTCTGATTCATAATTGGACCAGCTACTTCAGGAAGACCAGAAAAACGTTTTTCTGACTTGATAAAAACTTTAGCTCTGTAGTAATCACATATTTATCACCAAAAAGAATTTGTGCAGATGTTTACCATTCCCTATTTGGACACAACTTTCCTGCACCAGCTTCAGAAAGCAGGCTTGGAAGGAAAAGCCTTTTTCTGGTGGGACCCATCTACTAAATGCATATATCCCACAACTTTGACTAATTTCTAGTGTAAGTTGGGTTGTGTACTATGCTTCTATGTAGTCAACGACATAAAGTAAAAGAGGACACATCTCTTTTTGGCTCCATGAGGTTCTCACTCTCATACTGCCCAACAGATACAACTCTATTTTTTGTGCTGAATTATATCTAACCTACAAAACACCTTCCTAAAAGAAATGCCAGTTTTATTATCACACAGCAAAGAGTCCTGTAACCGTTTGTGACTGTCGTCTTTGCTAAAAGACATTAACGCAGGTGTCCTCAGGATGTTATATGAAATCAATGGCCCTTTACACTTAATTTGGGTTTACACAGAGGGCAATGGAATGTGCCACAAAACTTTTTTAAAAATATGTTTCTCCACTGAACTCCGCTATATAGCTTCTAGATGAGTGTAGATAGTATGAGCCTTGTATCCAACAGAGATGTTTTCCCAGACTTTGTGTGGATACGCAAAACCATGGATAATAGTTAACTATTGAAATGAAAGACTTCTGGCCCAAGAATACAATAGAACTGCATCAGAGAAGCTAGAAAATGCCAAGAGGACATATTTTGTCAGATGTGGATAAATGAACTAGGGATTCGACTCCTATGGGTATGGGAGACTACTGTACTTTATTTCCAGGTAAATAATACAACTGGCTGCCTCTTGAGACAATACATTGGCCTTCAATAATTGTATTCCTTTCTCTGAAATACTATGCACTCTTTGTAACTAAAATACACATACACAGTTTATCTCTTAGGGAAACATCAGGTAAGAAATCTGTGATGGTAAAGAATTAGAGCTTCCCATATGAATGCTGTAGTAAGCATACCAACTCACTGCATGGTAATGATCAGACAAGATCCTTGTCAGCCACGGCAAAGGAAGGAAGTTAATATCCCATAGTTCTTCCAGATGTTTACCTTTGGGAAGAGAAGAAAATGAGTAATTATTCCAGTGTTATTCAGGAAAGAAAAAAGCAATGCACCTACTATTATTGTAACTGGAATGGCTCATTAAAAGGCTAATGCAGGAGAAGAAAGAGAAAGGCATATCTGCTGGGATGTTGAGAACTGAAAAAGCCACTGAGAAAGCTGAAAAGTGAATGCAAATTGAGGAAAAAACATAATTTTTGGGGCAGGAACCACAGGCTCATTCACACTATACAGTTATAGTACTATTATTCAATTTTAATTTAATGACAATTGCCTTAGGAAATCCTGGAATTGGCCGTGTAGGAAGAGACATTTAGAAATGTCAGCCTGAAAGATTTACGATTTCATCATACGTGGAAATTTCAGTGTCCTAGGATGCTTCTGCCCCAGGTGAGCCACGGAGCCTCATGCCGCCCATCACATGACGTAGCCTCACTTCCATAGCTCAACTGTGGCAGAAGCATCATAGGACGCTGCACTGCCAACACAGGAGCCTCCTTGAAACAACGGGGCTAACGAGGGTACAAACCATGCCGCACTGCTTCTCCACATGTGATGTGGAAGTATCAGTTGATGGCTAGGTGGGACACCGGGATTTCTCCACTGACGCCCCCCCCCCCCCGATAGCAGGCATGTAGCCGGGGGGGGCTTGAGATTCTTAGGTGGTCTGCGAGAAGGCTGGAACGTTATTTAAACTGTTTACTGGAACATTATTTAAACTGTTATGTTTATTCATATCATGATCTGATCACCATGCTCAATATATCCCATATGCATGGGGCTATTGAGATAATGATACAAAAGGTTTGCTAGGGTAGATCCTCAGCCCCCCCCCCTTTGAATCAAACTCAGCCCCCCCCCCCGAATCAAACTCAGCACCCCCTGAATCAAAATCCTGGCTATGGGCCTGCCACAAAGGGTGGGAAATTGATCCGGAGGACTTCATCAATGTGATGAGGCCCTTAGTACCACACCAAACTCCAAATCCTATGATTCCAGTGCATACTGCCATGACAATTCAAGTGGAAGCATATTTTTAACTGTGTAAGGCCTGCCTGATGCAGCAGCAATCACAGCACAACACATATTTTACCAATGTAAGTGTTACATTGTCATAGGTCATCCTCTGACAGAAAGTGGGCATCATGAGATGTGATCCACCAGCCTACTGACACAGCCAATTCCTAGGAGACTCAGGCAACCTTGCCCCCTGCTGAAATCTCTCCTAGCTTCTGTGTTTTCCCACATTCATCACTTTTGCCATCTTGAACACACTGATGTCATTGGCTGCAAATGTACTGATTTTCATCTGTGAAATGTTAACGGGCATTTGAAAGAACACCTTTTATCTGAAGGTCTATCCTCAACTATCTCTAGCAGCTGCAATTCCAGCAGGCTATCATCAGGTTAGATGGGATCCAGGGCCATTCAGCCAACCCTGCAGAAAGATCACTTGGCTTTCTCCTTATGTCTTGTTCTTTTTAAATCGTGTCTATTTAGCTCATAAGCCCCCAGGCAAGAACTGTCTTGTTTTCAGTGTTTCATATGTCAGCCATTCTTGGAGATTTTTTGGCTTCAGAACAGAATTAAAATGCTTGAAATAAAATGTGAGGAAGGAACTTCATCTTGGTTTTTAGTTGGCAAGCTAAAGCCAAACTCCTATGCACTTTTTGTGGACCTTTTCAAGTGTTTCTTGATTAGGTTTTTTACAAACCCTATTTGATCATGACTGCAATTTGAAAGGCTCTATTTCTCTAGTCTTCCAAATAGAGTAGACCTATTGAATGACAAACTGGCATTTACGTAAATTCCAATGATTCGGTGGGTAGACTCCAGTTCAGGGACTAGTCTAAGGTTCTCTGTGGTTGGATGAAACCATGTATAGTACTGAACCCTGTGCCAGTAATATTTTTGGCACTTGATTGACTGCATGCAGCTAAAACCACAGAAAGCAAAACCATGGATAAAGGGGGATACGTGATATTTTTGGGATTGTGGTTAACTGCAGGTAACTGAAACCATGGAAAATTAACTTGCAGATAAGGGGGTCTTACTGCAATTGAATTTAGGCCTGTGTGAAAGTGCACATTACATTTTAAAAATAAATAAGCCGTCTTTTAATTTTAAAATTATATACTAAATTCATTTGTTTATTGACAATATCTATCCCCCCCTCTATATATACAGTATATAATAGTGAAATATGTATGTATGTTCCACCAAGGATCTTACATGGCTTGATGGATCTGGATCAAACTTGGTACACATACCTTTCATTATCCAACTTAAAATGCTGTCAGGGTTTCAAGTAAGAAAATCTATCCCATTTGGGTCTGTGTCTTTAAAAACATGAATAAATATGTATGTGTGCATACAATACTCATATGCAATCACAAGTGGGCAGTATATTGATAGAAAGGCTATCTCAGTGAGAAAGATGACAAACAGAAGAGGGCTAGAACATCAACAGGGTTTATTGTCTTGGAGATGTTCTAAAGGAGGCCTTGTCAGAGGTTAAGAAAAAATGGAAGTGAGCTGTAGAAAGAAGTCCTTAAGATGACAAATCCTGGGTAATAATTCTATTTGTAATAGAATCCTATATTCAGAAAATGTCTATCCAGGCAACATGTTAGGGCTGTGCAAAACTTTGTTTTTGCCTTGTTTGTCGTATCTATTTTGTAAGACATATAAAGCAATATTAAGAAACGCAAGGGGTGCCCACACAAAAAAACCTTAGGATTCAAAACACTGACCTATGACTTTCAGAAAAGTTATGTAAGTCTTGTAAGGAGTTCCATATCTCCATTGCAAAAGGGCCCTCCCCCCTAAAAGGGCCAGGCAAGGTAGAATCCCCCCCAACACATGTCTGGCCCAAAAGAGAGACAGGCAGAGACCATCACACTGAGGCTTTAATGAGGTCAGCCTCAGTATTCTTAAGTGAGCAGAATTCTGGAAAATGTAATTTAGGGTGGGGACTTTTGAATTCTCTGCCACATGGGTCCTCGCCTTCTCAAGCATTTCCTCTTTCTCCTCCTTCAAATTTTTGGTGTGGGAACCCATGTTCATTTTCTAGAGGGTCTTTGAGATAAAGGGATTGTTGTGAGTTGAATCAACTTTATGAGGGAAACAAAGTTGAGAGGTAACTCCAAAGTTTATTTAGTAGGTTTCCTATTGTTATCATTATTATTATTTCAAAGGCTGGATTGGCATCTGTTTGGGGTGCTTTGACTGCACTTTTCCTGCCTGGCAGAAGGGGGTTGGAAAGGATGGCCCCTGGGGTCTTCCAGTGAAATATTACTATTAAGTTTCTATTGGATAAAATACCATAAAATCAGTGGATGTGCAAATCTTTCTGAAACTTTGGGGAATTATGCCATGGTTTTGTTGTATCATTGAAAACAGAAAATCAAAGAGGGGACTTCCGGTGCAGGGAATGGCGGAGAGCAGCACACACTGAGAGCTCCGCTAACTGTGTGTGCACGACGGGTGATTGGGTAGAGCAGTGGCTCCCTTCCCCCTGGGATCGAATTCGGGGGGAACAGCGAAACCAAAGGGGCCAACCGATGGTCCAAAAGGGGGTCTTCTCCTCAAGAGGAGATCCCTGAAGGATCCGGTACATGGCCCCACAGGTACAGCGGATCACCCAGATAGTGGCGAGCGAAAGCTCGCAAATCTCCTGCCGGCTGCACTTTTAATCAAAGAAGAGAGGAGGAGGAGGTAAGGAAGAAATGAAAGCATAGTAGAGTGCGAGAAAGGAGGGTTGGAAGAGGGTCTTGAAGCTCTCCTTGGCAGAGAAAAAAGAAAGAAGAGAAGAAGGATCTCCGGAGAGGAGAAAGATAGAGGAGAGAAGAATCAGGAGGTGGAAGGGAACTAATTAATTAGTATCATACTAACCATCACCAACGCTTACCAGCGGTATAATAATACAGAAGAAGAAGCTGGTCACGGAAATAAAGAATAAAGATAAAAGATAAAAGATAAAGGTTACAGGTGAAAGAGAAAGAAAACAAATAATAGGAGGATAGCGGTACAAATAAAGAAGAAAAGATATAAAGATATAAAGATAAAGTATAAAGAGCACAAGGAATATAAAGAAAAGTAAAAAAAGTAAGAAAACTAATAAGATAATATAGCAAAGCAATAGCGAAGCATAAGAAGAGCTGTAAAAAGCTGTAAAGAGCTGTGAAGAGAAATATAGAAACGGGAAAAATTGGAGGAATTGGGAATTGGGAGAGACGGAAAAAAGAAGAAATTTGAATATTAACTAAACAATTGTACAAATATACAAATATACAAATATATAATACAATACAGTATTTAATGCTGAACTGGATTGGACTAGAAGGAGGGAGGCGATAGAAGAAGAAAATAAATAAATAAAAGGACTGGACTGAGAGGACTGAGTGGACTGACCTTGAGGGGTTTTGTTGTGGTTCAGCAGCAACAGCATGATGGGACTGAGGGTGCAGATGAGCATGATGGGAATGGGAATACAGATGCAGGTGTGGGATTTCAGATTTCTCAGTTTTCTCAGCCACAGTCTGTAGCTAGAGAGAAACCATTGTTATCACAGGAACGGAATGTGGCTGATAAAACAGCTGGTGAAGGTCAGACTGTGCCGCAGGTGTTAAGAAGGAGTTTACGAATTGCGGCCAAGTCTTGAGTGGGAAAACTGCTTGTTAGCTGTCTGTTTAATGTTCAATGTTTTGATGTTTTACCTATAAGTAAACTGCCTGGGAGCTGATTCGGCGTCAGTTTCAACGTTGCAAAATGGCTCGCTTTGTCTCTTGCTCTGGGGCTTGGGCCTTGGGGAAGAAAGCCTGCTTCATGTAACCTCATGCTATTTCCTGGATTATATGCTGCTTCTTTGCTTCAAGTTTCCTGCTTTGATTCAACAGAACTTTGGACCTATACTTTGTACTATTGAACTTTTTACTGCTTTTACTTGGATTTGTTTGAACTTCAATAAACTTCTTTCTTCTCAAGTT